CAATCTTGTGAACAACACGACTTCAAAATAAATAGGCGATGTTGCGCCTTCAAAAATTAATACATGTGTAAAAGTCTTATCATCATGTTTAGGGTCATTACGAACATACGATGATCTGTTATTTGTTTTATTAATAACATGTAATGATGTTGATGATTCAATAAAATGTATTTTCTTACGTTTATCTAGATATTTTTGTAATCTACCAAAACTTAACAAATTAATTTCAATACATTTTGGTTTTAAACTTAATTTTTTAATAATATTATTATAGAATGACCATCGATCTGAATAATATTTAATTAATTGTTTCGATACAAAACGAAAAAATTTTAATGCCAAATGAGATTCATTTGCCGAAAATGTTTGAGTTTCCAAGTGTTCACATGTAATTAAATAATCAGTAGATAGTGATCTTAATAAATATTGTACTGCTTGTCTTTCATATATTAGATTTATAGTATTGTCCATGTTACTCAATCTTTTATTGACATTATTTTCTAATCGATTTAATTGTTTATTGACATTATTTAATCGTTCGTTAAAGTTTCTTTCCAATGAAGTAATTCTATTTGAAAGAGTCGTTAGACTTGTTATAATATATCTTTTAGACATTGTAAGATCATTATTACTAATAGGTTCAGATACATTTTGACTAGGAATAACACCTGAATAATTATCATTAGGTTCAATAATTGGATTTTCATCATTAATATCATTTTCTATTTGTTGGTTGACCATATTTTCATTGTATTCATCATCTTCTAATTCATCGAAAAATGATATTTTACCATCATGTAACTTTATAATATCATTAAATGTTGGCCGACATGAATTATCATCATCTTGAACAATTGTTTTCTCGAAATTGATTTGATTTTTTTTCTGTTGTTGTTCATTGATGTCACGTAAACTAATATCATTAATCATTGTATTATAAACATCTAATGAATTTTTTTCTTGTTGTTTTTGTTTATGTTGCTGTTTGTATTGTCGTTGTTGTTTTTGTTGTGGTTCTTGTTATTGCTGTTGTTGTTCACTTTCACCTTGTACTAGTGATAACTCACAATCTAATCGTGTTTTTTCAGCAGATTCAATTCTATTGTTAATCGTTTCTTCATCATATTTTAGTAAATAGACCGATTGAAATGATTCATTACTGTTAGAACAAAACATTTAGATCATATAATCCATATCTATCTCATACTATGGGTTATTTAATTTCAATCTGAATTTAAACAGAAAAAAGAGCACTTGATTTCAAATTGAAATAAGGGACTAAGGGACTAAGGGACTAAGGGGACTAAGGGAGTAAGGGACTAAGGGACTAAGGGGACCAAGGAACTAAGGGGACTAAGGGACTAAGGGGACTAACGGACTAACGGACTAAGGGGACTAAGCGACTAAGGGGACTAAGAGACCAAGGGGATTAAAGAACTAAGGGACTAAGTGGACTAAGGGGACTAAGGGACTAAGGGACTAAGGGGACGAAGGGACTAAGGGGACGAAGGGACTAAGGGGACGAAGCGGACTATTCAGTGGGGAAGCGCGTTTCCCCACTTAACACACCTTTTATTTCAGCGTCGCGGCGTGGGGACGCTTCGCGCCCCCCGAAGAGCCGCGACACATGCACGTCTCTGTGTACACCATTATTTCTACCCTTAGTCCCCTTAGTCCCCTTAGTCTGCTTAGTCCCTTAGTCCCTTAGTCCCCTTAGTCCGCTTAGTCCCTTAGTCCCTTAGTCCCTTAGTCTCCTTAGTCCCTTAGTCCCTTAGTCACCTTAGTCCCTTAGTCCCTCTGTCTTGGTAAAAATGGGGTGTTATTTTTTTATTCAAAATTCAATTTGAAATAAAAAAACCCATAGAATCTTAATTTGATGGCTCTTTCAAAATCAAATGAAAGGAAAAATCAAAATATATTATAAGATATTCTTTAAAATAGTAAAATAATAGTAATCATTTCCTTCCAAATATATGTTGGTGATGTTTCCAAACAATGGACATTCTAACCAGCTGATAAGACACAATTTTCATCGATATAAATTTGTTCTTTAAATTTAATTTCATTTATTTGAAGAACCTAGAAAAAAAAACAAGAAAAAACTAATATTTCATACTAAATTAAATCATATAACCTGTTCGATTTCTCCATTATGAGCAATTATAACAAAGAAAAAAAATTTTATTGGGAATTCATTATTTTCTGTTATTATTGGCATCTAAAACATTCAAACAAATATGTAGGTGAAGTTAGCCTCATATTCGAGTAAATCCAGTCGATATTCGTCCAGGAAGCTGCTCTAGAATAGAACTCGACGAGCTCTATCGGTTGGTAATCTTGGATTTTCCATAGTTCAAACCATTTGTGAAAACATCCTAAAATACTAATTTTTCACTATGTGAATCTTACCATATGGTTAGTAAATCCAGCCGATATTTGTCCAGGAAGGTGCTTCAGCTGTTCCAGAGAGTTCGAAAGTAGAACTCGACGAGCTCTGTCAGTTGGGAATCTTGGATTTTCCATAGCCCAAACCATTCGTGAAAAAAGCCAAAATACTAATTTATTACCATATGACACCTATCACATGGGTACTAAAATCAGCCGATATTCGTCTAGGAAGTTCTTTCAGCTGTTTCAATAAGTTTCCAAATGTAACTTGACGAGCCTTATCAATTGGTAATCTTGGTGTTGCCATAACTCAAAGCATTTGTAAGTAGAAAGGGTGTCGGTGTGGGTGTGGGTCTTATTCTCATACCCACACCCACACCCACACCCACCCACACCCAAGGTACTGAAAATCCAACGTTATCAATCGACAGAGCTCACCAAGTTCTACTTTGGAACTCTCTGGAGCAGCTGGAGCTGCTTCCTGGACGAATATCGGCTGGATTTGCTAACCATATGGTAAGATTCACATAGTGAAAAATTAGTATTTTGGGATTTTTTTTCACTAATGGTTTGAGCTATGGAAAATCCAAGATTATCAACCGATAGAGCTCGTCGAGTTCTATTCTGGAGCTCTCTGGAGCAGCTTCCTGGACGAATATCGACTGGATTTACTCGAATATGAGGCTAACTTCACCTACATCAAACAAATAGTTTTAAAAAAAGGTACTACTGCAGTTTAGTCACACCGTCAATGATATATATGTACAGAACGAGAAAAAAAATCGACTGGTCGACGCACAACCAGTAAACAAATGAAAGAAAATAAGACATATACATGTCATATAAGAACAAAAGACTTTTATTACGAAAAAAAACCACAGAACACAACTATTGAACAGGATAGTTTCGCGAAATTTGTAATACTAAATTTTTTAACGGCTTATCTCCAAAATCGTGGCGCCAAACGAATTTATCTATATAAGTTTAACGCCAATTTAATTTCTTTTGAAAAATCTACTTATTACTTTATTATTGATAGAAATTATGATTTGTGCCTTATAAATATGTGACTCTTTTTTATTCATCTTCCTCCTATCACATCAAAGAGTTATACTATTTTATTAAAAAATTCATCTCAATTAATAGAGCGATATATCTTTCATAAAACATCCCTACACAGTGTTCTCATATGATATCTGTCTTATTTTCTTTCATTTATTTACTGGTTATGCGTCGATCACTCGATATTTTTTCTCGTTCTGTACATATATATCATCGATGGTGTGACTAACTCTTTGAGGACCGATGGGTTATTTTTAACCCATCTACTTTTCAGTAAAGAAAAAAGTGTTTAATTCACATTAAACTGTTAAATATGTGAGGTCATTAAGGTCATAAACAACTGCATTTGTCATCTCATACTTTTTTTTCTTTCTTTCCTTCTGTCATATAAATTCTTTTCAAATATCCGTTGTTCTTGCTGCTAAGATATAGTGACGTCATAATTGATCCCTCCTTCTCTAATCTTTTTTTTCGAGAATATTTTCATTCTCTATTGAATATATATATATATTCCCGTTTTCACTGACGAATTTACATTGTTCTTGAATTTGTAAAGCATATCAATTCTCTTTCGAACTTGTACGCTCTATTTCTTTATACTGTTTGTTCAATTAAAACTAAAGAAATGGAATTCTATGAAAATGATGAAGTCGACGAGGAGTCCTGTGATTCATATGCCAATGATGATACCAACGAGAGTGATTTCGATTTCGATTATGATGAACTAGTCGATGATTTAGATGAGCTTGAACTTTCTGATGAAGATGTTGATGTATATACAGAGGAGCTGTATTCAACCAATGAAAGTCATATCACGGATGGCGGCTTTACCTCAATCTCTCTCAAAGAGCGAACTCCAGTTTCAGTCTTTAGGACCTTTTTTACTGAAGAAGTTTTAAACCTGATCACTGATCAAGCCAACATTTATGGAAAAGGAAAGGAACGAAATAACAATCAGAAGAAAATGAGTAACTGGAAGGATGTGAGCAACAAAGAGATTGAATCGTTTCTCGGATTGATTATTCTAATGGGTATCAATAACTTGCCAAATATGAAACTTTATTGGAGTAAAGATATGATATTCCATAATACATTTATTTCTTCTATCATGTCAAGAAATCATTTTCTTCAAATTTTTTATAATATACATGTGGCTGATAGCTCATTGCAACCAAAACGAGAATCCAAAGATTACAGTAAAATTTACAAAGTTAAGAATTTTACTGAAATTTTACGGAGCAATTTCCAAAAAAATTATAACCTTGGACGCTACGATACAATCGACGAAAGCATGATAAAATTCAAGGGAAAATCAAGCCTCAAGCAATATTTGCCATTAAAACCAATAAAAAGAGGTTATAAAGTTTGGTGCTTATGTGATCCAACCACTGGTTATTTATTCAACTATCAAATCTATTTAGGAAAAGAAGAAACTAGTGGAAAAGAAACACCTTTGGGCGAACGTGTTGTTTTCGATCTGATATCTGGCCATAACTTCCAAGGAAAACATCTGTATTTTGATTATTTTTTCACTTCTCTCTGATGATTAGAAAAGCTAAAGCTACAAAACATAAAAGCCGGTGGAACTATCAGACCAGATCGGGCAGGTATTCCATTGGATTTTGCCAAGAAAAATAAAATGGAGCGAGGAGATTACAAGTCAATGATTGCATCGAACAGCATCGTTTTCATATGGATGGACACTAAACACATTTTCCTGGCTTCAAATTATCATAAAGACAATGAAGTTGTTCCGATTTCCCGTCGTTTGAAAAATGGCCAACGTATTACTATTACCTGTCCAAAAGCAGTAAAAGATTATAATCAGTTTTCACATGGAGTTGATCGGTTTAGCCAAAGAATATCGTGCTACAATCTTGATCGCAAGTCTAAAAGGAACTGGCTGCGAATGTTTATTTATTTTCTAAATGCATCTATTTTCAACTCATTCGTTTGTTATAATCAGTTAGCTCAAGATAAATTAACATACTTGAACTACATGGTTTCATTGGCGAAGTCTCTCTGTTCCGGCAGTGAACGAATAAGTCGTGGAAGACCTCCTTCTGAAAAGAAGTCTAAACTAGAATCACCAAAAACTGTTCTTAATTTTAACAATGAAATGCAGTTGCCTGTGACAGCAAAAAGAAGAAGATGTGCCTATTGTAGCACCAATGAAGCAATAGATTATCGATCCAACATCGAGTGCTTTACTTGCAAATTGCCATTTTGTTTAAAAGATTGAAAAAATTGTTTTTTCGATTATCATAAGATTTTTATGTAGCCGTTTTGAGTTAAAATAAAATAAAAAGGTTAAAAAATATTTTTTTCGATTAAAAAAAATTCGGTCCTCAAAGGGCTAAAGTACAGTAGTACCAAGCTTGATATTGCTCATTGTCAATACATAAAAGTGAAAGATGTTGATGAAACTATAACTTGGGAAAATAGTTGTATGTTACAATATTGCAACATTAAAATATTATTTGTATTGTTTATTTTAGTTTTAATTATAAAAAAATTTTCGGTAATCATTTATCGAAAACAAAAATAAATAATTTATTGTATGATACTGATAAACGATGGTCAGTTAACATTCGTTGTATTTGTTTATCTATATGTTAATGAATTTCATTTAGGCATTGGAAAAATATCATTCGATGATTTTACAAATGTTATTAAATATTTATTAGAAGAAAAACAAATGAATACTGAATTTGATCGATCTATTCCAGTATGTTTTACTGTAAATTTTTCTCAATAGAACTATTTATTATAAATGATTGCGTACAACTCTTAATCGATATATTCCAACAGATTTGTAAGATTATTCCAAGTTTTGTCACGATTCCAATTCGAGATATGTGAAAACTGGAGCCGAAATATTCGATTCCGTTTGAAAAATTTTCAGTTGAGTTCGATAAAAAAAAGAAAATGATCATAGATGTGTTAGCCACTTTGAAGACATTCCATTGCTTACCATTGCTATATATCAGAGACTTCAAACCTTTGTTATAATATACTATTTAAAGAAAAAACACATCGAACAATGTCCTCATCATTTTTTTTTATTTGACCTCGACCGATATATATATAGGACGATATGTTTTTTGAGCACCACAAAATAAGACAAGTGAGCACATAATTAGTTATATGTGAAATGAGCACCAAAAAATAAGACAATTGAGCACCAAATGAAAAAACAATGTAAAAAAGATGAGTTATATCTTGAACAGATAGAAAGTATAGTATACACGTATAAAATCATTCAATTGTGATAAGGTCAACTCGAACTGACGATTCTCATGACGACTTACTGATCAAGGGACACAGGCTGAGAGTATGTATTGGTGTGGCTATAGAGTAATGAGATCTACGTCTTAACCTTCACTCACACCCACCTAGACCCAAGATACTATTTTGTAGGTGTGAGAGTGAGGGTGAAGGTTGGGGTGTGGGTTAGGACGTAGATCTCATTACTCTATAGCCACACCAATACATACACTCAGCCTGTACCCCTTGATCAGTAAATCGTCAACTCGAGTTGACCTTATCACAATTGAATGATTTTATATGTGTATACTATAATTTCTGTCTGTTGGAGCCGCTATGGCTGAATGGTTAAGTTGTTTGACACATATCCACAAGATACTGTGTTCGAACCTCGGATCCATCAGTCATAGAATGACCTTGGACAAGTCACTAACGGCTGTTTTGTCTAGGATCACCCATCCGATAACAAATTGACTACGTTGTTGACATACACTAAATGGTCCTTGTGACTAGTATGTGGTTAGTCAGTATGTATGGGTAGCTTAAGAAATTAAGCGAGAAGAACTCTGAGTCAGGCCGGCCTTCTGTCCAGAGCTACATTTAGTAATAGATGTAGGAAAATATCGGGCTTCTCGAAACTGTCCTCGGACAGCACCCTATACCGCAAGGTAGCCGAAAGGCGGGGTATTCTTCTTCTTCTTCTATCTGTTTAAGACATAAGTCATCTTTTTTACATTGTTTTTTTTTCAATCGGTGCTCAATTGTCTTATTTTTTGGTGCTCGTTTCATACTTAACTAATTTAGTGCTCATTTGTCTTATTTTTTTGGTGCTCCTTTCACATATAACTAATTATGTGCTCAATTGTCTTTTTTCTGGTGCTCAAAAGACATTTTTTCCATATATATATTTATGTGAAGCGAAATATATAGAAGGAAAAAAAAATAGATATCCTATTGTTCGCTGTTTGTGTTTGTCTGAACAGTGTATATATATCATATGTTGGCTGATTACTCATTCTCAGTTATCATTACAAAAAAACAACGAATGGCAGAAAAAGTGAATGTAAGGATCAGCCTTGTCAGATCTATTGCGAAAATAAGAATTTATTTTTATTTATTAACCTTTTCCTAATTATAAAAATATCCTGTTTTATTTCAAATTTAAAACTAATCGATCGTCAAATTCAATCATTAATCGTTTCTTTTTTTTTTCTTTTTTAAGGATAAACAACAAAAACAAGAACAAACCAATGATTTTATTAAAAAGTTACTCGAATTGACAGAAAATGGAATCAATATCGATAAACATATGATGGAAACACTTGCAAAACAATATAACATTCAAAAAGGAACGATTTAATGTTTTTTTTGCTTGATCTTTTTTTTTCTGAATACATCCCATCAGATGCTTTATATATCGAAGCACAAGCTTCAAATGAAAACTAATACTGCATCTTTTATTAAAAGAGAAAAGAGCGAAAACTGATAGAAAATTCTAAAATCGAATGAAAATTATCATTTTAATGAGCAATTTATGAAATTCTATTTAAATGATTCTTTCAAATAGTTTACATAGGTAATCACAATGAGTTAAATTGTTTAATTCTATTTAATAATCAACTATAGATAGATTATGTTGATCGATGTAATTCAAATGAAATAAGCATGGTCAAATCTTTAAATATTCTTTTGATTTTCATAATGTATTGATTGAATAAAGATGATTGATTGTTTCTATTTATATGTCTTCTTCGAATGTTAAATCTCTATTAAATTTGAAATGCCATCTACACTTTTATAGATATAACGAAAAAAAAAATATTGAAACAAGTTTCGATATGATATTTTCAAAAAGTGATCAGCTTATTTAACAAAAGTTTTTTGTTCAAAAGCATATACGTAGATATAGAGAACTCAACTAGGCTAGCTTTCTTTAAAAAATTCACAAGTTTTGAACAAAAGTATTTTCGAGATATGGAACTTCCAAGACATAGAACTATTTCTATGGATAGTGTCCACCGCGCGCATTTTTTTTCAAAGCATCATATCTCGAACAGGTTTCGTTCAAAACTTGTGAATTTTTTATGGAAACTAGTCTAACTATGTTCGCTATGTGCATAAAGGTTCAAATCACAATTGGTAAAACAACATTCTCGTAAACCTAGATGTTCAAAGAATAGACATATTAGAAATTCGATTATGAAGTCAAATATAAACTGGAACAGAAATCTTTTTACGATTATTATTAGAATACGATATAATATCTGTAGGCAAAAAGTCATTGAAATCGGAACTGAATATCTGAAGAGGTTCCTTCGTAAGCAATTAATCTAGACATTTATTATTGAGACTTTCACTTGTTTTTTTTTACTTGAACAAGATGTTTTACGATTACGTTCATGTTTTATACAACATAGTAGACCACCAAGTATAATGAATAAAGCTGAAAGACCACCTGTAATAAACCAAACTAAGTATGATACTGTTCCTCCACAATGAGCAGTATATTGTGTCGGACAAGTTTTGGATGATTCAGGAAATACAAGTCTTAATGTATAATCCCAAGCATCGTGAACAGATTCTATTGGAATATTTATGTGGCAATTGTTACAAGTAATTATTTGATTAATATGATGAGGTTTTGAATCAATATCTGTATAGTGCGTAAAAGATGTTTTCAAAGGATTTTGACAATATTTTGATATTGAAATATTAAAATAGATTGTATCATCTGTACAAAATGAATCAATAATGCATACTTCACATGATTTTGTTTGTTTTTGTGCACTGGTTAAACCAGAGATAATAAAAATTCCATAAAGCAGAAGAAAGTTAATGATGACGAGCATATCAATCTAATGCGTCTGTGTTTTATACTTCTTGAAACTTTTCGTCTTCTTCTTATCTTAACAACGAAAAAGGTGTTCTTCATCATAATTTACTTCGTACTCATATTTTGATAAATTTGCTGCATCATTCTCATTGCATGGTAAAACATTTTTGACAGAATCAACATAGTTTGTAGCTTCAAACATTGTTGAATATGAATCAATACGATTTATCCAAAGACATTCAGGTTTTTTATTATCATTCTTTGTAGATTTAGGTCGCCAACGAGCAACAGGAACAAAGCTTTTGTTCAAATGATTTCCATCTAATTGATCAGACGGCGATTCCTTTGAAGACTTTTCAAAAGTATCTAGACATAAAAAAAGGATTCATTAGAAGTTTATTTGCCATTATCATTAAGGACAAAATCAAATCATATAATAAGAATAAAGGCGACTATAAGGATTTGACTATAGAACGGGATATATGTAGGTTTGTAGAGAAAGACTTCCTCTATCCAGTCGTATATATATTATCAAATTCTGT